CATTAAAACACTAGGAAAATTAAATACAAATACCTAAAATGAATGTTCACAGTAAATGTAAATGTAAATGTTCCCACTTTCCCTAACTAACGAAAGCAATCTATCCTAAAAAAAATAATCAGGAACATTGAAACTCAATTTTAGAGAAATGACTTTGTGAACTAGGCTGCATAACTAAAATGGATTAAAGTTATAAAAAAACCAATACAATTAGATCTCTATCATGCTTTACTCTAATATACAGTAATATTTTTATTCGCAAACAAAAATTGTTAAACCATTTAGGACAGTTTATTAGTCAGTGATAACAGCGAAATACAAAGTAAAAATTGATGATATGATGATTAGTGTATATTGGTTGTGATAAGAAAAATTAAGGTTATCAATTACATGAGGAAACAGTTGGACATGTTCAGTTGATTATTGCACCTGATATGAGAACCTTTTTTTACATAATCTAACCAATACAGTTAACGCATAGTTCCAGGGAAATTCACATCCTGAAGCTTTAAGAAAAGTGACGATATTCTCGGGAACCGATATGCTGACTTAGAAAAATCTATTATCCCTCAGCCTGAAAAACTGAGAAATATCATTTAAACATTTTCGGTATAATTAATCAGTCTCAAAGTTATTACGTGGTAATTTAAAACATGAAATTCTTACTCGACAAACATCTTTTTACTTCATAATAATAATAATAAACTCAGTTTTTCTAACCAGATTATGGTTTGTTTGTAGAACAGTGAAAAATTAGCCGATTAGTTTTGTGACATTACATAAACAGATTGCTGTTTGTTTTTTTATTTATTGATTTTACTCACCTAATAACCATAAACAGTTTGTCGTGAATACACGCAAACATGGACTTTTAGTTTAACAAATAAATCTGAAGCTTGTATGCCTATAACCGACATACATTTTTATTGATTTAAAAAAAAGGAGGGAGGCGAACAATGAATAGCCAGGAAAATAAAACAAATTCTTTATTTTACAGATCAATGCTAATGACTGTTTTCTAGCCACAAAAACTCACTACAGGGAAAACTACAGTAACATTAAACGTTTTGAATACAAAAGATGTAATGTAAATGTAAACGAGTATTTACTGACACACTGTAAACAAAACAATAAAACAATGCATATCTTTAACGAATTACTTTTTTTTCTGGAAAAGCTACACAGTTTATTTAGTAATTTGCTGAAATTTTGTACTTACGTTTGATTGCTACCAGCTGGTGTATTGCATGAAATGTATGAATAAGTATACATCTATTTGAATTGTGTACGACCAGCTCAGAGAACGAAACACCACCACAATCATCCACCTGAGCTACAAGTTTTCTCCACCATCTCAATTTTTTAAAGTAGAGTGAATGTTCATTGTTTTAATAATGTTGATATGACATTAAGGAGTAAATCTTTTCATAGGGAAACGTTAATTATTGCGAATAAACCATTTACTTTCGATTAGCTAAATCACGATGTGGGGATAAGATAATTACACTTTCTCCTCGAAACATCTTTGCGGTTTCAGAATTATAAGAATATGGTAATGAACTCTTATAGAGCTCTCTTTAAATATAGAACTATTATCTGAGCTACTCTAGCAATTTAACAGTGAGTTTGAAGCCAGTGACTAAATCTCCACTTTGAATTTTCGTACATAGTGAAAAATGGTAAAGCACTTATTCATTTACTGAAATTAGTAAACCTTATTGTTTAATTTAGAGTTTCATATTTTATGGGTTCGCTTTTTATATTGTATTGTCGGAGAAAAATTTCTGAGTGTAGTAAATACGATAATATTTTAGACTCAATGAATAATAATAAAACATCGAAAATGGATGGCTTGAAAGTATGTTACATCTATGCTCAATATAAATTTATTTTTTAAACATCAAATAGTCTAAAACATTAACCCTGGAAGCTTGCTGTACTTTACTGATCTTGGGGAATTAGAGGACAAAATCAAAACCGAGTGCATCTAACTAGATATGCTGATAGTTCTGTATTAAATTTGGAAACGTTATTACGGCTGTTCAGTGTTTCATATTATTTGTTTGAATGGTTGATCTTTTGAAATTCGAACATAATATTCAGCGCCGTTTTCTTCAATTTCATATATTAAATGTAATAGATTAGACAGAAGTGAGGAAATCATTACTTTAGACAAGACAGATTCCTTCTCTTGCTACAAAATACGTGAAGATGTGAAGGTGTACTTAAGTGTTATTTAAATCATCATTGAGTCAGAGTGATGTAGCCGGAAAATACCAATAATTACATAGAGTGACACTTACTGCAGCTGAGACTATTTTTTTTTACTAGATCTCAAAAAATCATTCGTAATCATTATATTTTTAAATATTATTTTCATCAAAAACTACTATAGTTTAAGGGAGAAATCGACTTACCGATCATTGGAAAACATCTTTCTTCAAAAGAAACTATCAAAGCTCGATCGACTAGAGACTAATTGTACATCTTGATGGAGTTTTAGTGTCTATCTGTCAGTACTCAGTCAATAAAGAGTCATAAATTATAATTTTTTGAAAGTATTCTGTTTGTACATTTGGTTTGTCATTGGAATGGGCGTATGGTTAATTAGGGTTACATGTGTGGTGATGAACTGATAATTTTGATTCTCTGAAAGACTAAAATAGCAATCACCTTTTCTTGGAAGAAAAATAGTTGAACGACTTTGACTAATTATCAAGTGATGTTTCGCTGGTGTGGTAAAAATTTCTTTTTTCTTCTAACTTTATTCATGAAATTTTTTTTAAGGAAATTAAATAAAGTTGATTGGAGAATTTATACCAACTTATTCCGAACACTGACAAATCCGATTACAAAAAACGTTTCTTCTAACATTGCCTCAAGTCTCCTATGGATTAAGACGTTCTGGGTTACCTTTGAAAGAAAAAATAAGTAACCGACATTTGTTCAATGGAGCTATAACTTGACTTGTCACCTCAATCTTATTGTATCACCGATCACTTAGCATGTCTGTGTGTGTGTCTGTGTGTGCATAGCATTATGCGCATATTTAAGTACAGAAGCACTCATTCACGCATGTGTGTCCTAGCTACCGGTCATTGACCATCTGTTTAGAATACCAAAGTGTACCTAGTTATGTTATGTTACATCTCCTCAAAATAAACCTATGTAAAAATAAATTAACTGGATAACCAAGAAGAAACAAAAACAAAAAAAAAACGATTGATAACTGTAGAAAAATCATATGATAGGATAATAATTTTACACGCTTCTTCAATTTTATCCAACATATCAAGTTTCCCAAATGTTTTATTTAAATAATTACACTGCAACATACAATGAATGAATTGAAAAATGAAATTTAGATAACCAGGTGAATGAATAACTGTGCTATGATAAATTATATTTCTGATATTGCAGGTGGATGATAAATTTCTCGAATTCTAACAGACAAAATATTATTATTATCCACTACTGTGGTTTGATTTAAACTCAAAAATTAAGAATAACATATCCAATAATGAGATGTTGAAATTGTCGCTAAATCAGATTATATTAAATTAGAATGAATAAGTACCAGATTTTTAAGAATAGTGATATATATATATATATATAAACTAATGTTTATATGCAAACTAGAATTTCAAAAGATCTGAGTAGACATTATATATATATTCAATCAATTATATATCTGCTTGGTATTAACATGAGTGAATGTCAAAAATAAGCATATTTATTATTAACGCTACTAATTAGTTGTAGTAACCACATGAAAATTTGCCGACGTCACTGATTGGAGTTTCCATCTAACAATTTAAGGACTATACGTAAATATATCATATGGTAGAGCACATGCTACTGTATTCTTATTCCTGATGTTGATATATATATATGTATAAAAGAATCCACCTGGAATCCTTCTAAGATTACAGTAGGTCTCGAAATAAGATAAAGCAGATGGTCATTTGTAAATTAATAGTTTTAGGTAATTTACATAGTTTGAATGTGATTAGCCGCCTTTAGGAGTTAATCAACACATCATACCTCAGTGACCGAATAGTTACCAACTTCAGATTCAGCAGACCTCAGTGATAACTGAACTCCATGAATGAATTTCGAAATGTTGAAATCAAGAACAAGTTTATGCATCGATAAAGAATGAAGATGGAGATATTGTTTATTAACAAGTGACCAATTATTGCAAAACTCTAATTTCTCTCTGTTAGGCATTCATTTAAATTGTTTCTTCAAAGTATAAAGTTTTAATTTTACCAGTTTGATTAAATGATCATTAATGTTATCAGCTTTTGTTCAGGGATAAACATTCTATTTTAAGGAGTAATAAAATTGAACCAGTAAATTGAATAGTTATTTTAGTATGAACATAAAATAATCCTCAGACGTTTTGTAGACGACGAAAATTTTTGTCATAAACCTTCTTGTAACAATGCTATCTTGTTAATTAATAATCCGTACTCTGATGAATTGCCCATTATATAATCAACACTTGATATGGGTTAGCATACGTGTCCGTGAATTTGTAAACGGTTCACTTCTGGATGTTCAATATGTGTGCAATTTCTAGCATTTCTTCATTCAATTAGTAAGTGGATACTGAATATAAGAGCACAACTTTCACGGAGAACATTCAAAGCTCTAAATTTCCTTTTTTTCGTCCGGTACATTGTGATAAGTTACAGTAGAGTGGATGGATACGAATGATTAAAGTGAAGTCTACAGTGAAAATTACGCTTTTGTGCAACATCAAGCTATTAAATGAGCTAGGAAAAGCTTGAAACTAGTAGATATCGTATTTTTACTGAATGATGAAAACAGGATGATTATTCTTACACCTTTTAGTAGTGTATTGTGGATTGTGATGCTCGGTAATTTTTCTTTACAGAACGACTACTCATTTTTATCATAAAATTATTTAGCTCTTCGTTATTCAACCATAATTTAGACTTATGAACCGTTAATTACATTTTTAAAGCTCTTACCTGGATATTGACTGTTTATTCCACACCCCCCTCTTGAATTACAACAAGTCGAATTCATAAATTGTGCTTTCTGGTCAACTTGAGACAAATTATTATTATTATCCCCAACAGCACCGGTGGCAACAACGTCCCCACAAGTACGATGATGATAATTCAAATTGTTTTGAGAGAAGTCTTTCCTTTTGCCTTTCATACACTTAATCCACGCTTCTGATGATTTTCTGTTACACCATACCCACATACCTGAAGTGATACCGACAACTAAGGACATGAATATTTGTAGCATATTAGCTTCAACTGATGGGAAGAGATTATCACTAAGACATTGATTAACCGATGACCAATTTGTACCGTATTCCGTCAAACAATTTGTTTGTTTCGCCAGTTTATCCAGTGTTTTCATCCATTTGGGGTAACTAATATAATTATAAATATTAACACTAATGACACAGCCTTTTGGTATAATATACAACATAGAGAAAATTCCCATTTTTATCATCAGTTTATCTAGACGTCGTGTATTCCCATTATTGAGAGCAATGACTGGACTACTTGTCATCACTGCTTGTTGTGGTGTTGCCGATGTGGCTGAAACATTTCGTTTAAACTGTGTGTTATAACAGTTTGCTAATCCTGTTGTCGTGTTCGCAGTGGGCATGAGACTTTTGGCATGTTGTTTTAAGTTTGATCGCAGAGAAACCAAAGAATGAAAACCTACCAACAAAAACAAAATCCCCAATAGCAAGTAGATCACCTGTGGTAACAATATAAATGCAAGTAAACTCGTTGAATTTTGATAACCAACATTGCATAATCCAGTTAACTCATCTGCATCAATGCGGTGCATAATTAATATGATAATAGTCTTCAACGCAGGGATCGCCCAGGAGAGCATATGTAAGATACTACTAATAGCCTCTATGCCTTCACATCCCCACTTACATGAAGCTGATAAGAACCATGAGATGGCTAACATAACCCACCATAAATAACTAGCTTGACTAAAATAAAACAGGATAAGAAATACGATAGTGCACCATGTACCTTCATGTCCAGCAGTTATCAAGAAAGTAACATTAGCCTTCGACTGAACTACACTTGTAAGAAGTTTCTTCGTTCCTTCTTGTGATACTCCACTAGGCAATAGTGATGACGAAATAGTTTCAATTTTGTTTCTACAAGCCACTGAATCACGTCCAATTAGAGCGTGTAAAATAAATCCAGTAGAGTAGAAAAAGTAACAAACTGATATATAAATAATCGGTCTCTCTGGATAAGCGAAACGTGCACGGTTTAAAGCAAATGTGACAATTGTCATTGCACATGATGCTAAACATAGTACAGCCCAAACTAACATCCAAATATTGGCAAAATGTTTTTCAGTTGGTTTGTAAAATAAATGAGCGCTACACCGACGGGCGCATGTAATATTATTATGAGCTTGTTCAGAATATAAAAGTACTTCAACAACATAACACTTCGAATCTTGTAGTTTAGTCCTGTGAAGCATATGATGTTTTGTTAATGCAGACTGGTTACTGTCCACTAGATATAGTTTCCCATGATTGTTGTCTGACTGGTTAGTTTGGATACCAGTAAGTTGTTGGTTTTGTGCACTTTGATGTGCTAGAAATTCACCAAAATCTGGCAGCAAGTTAGCAATGGCTCCATGGGCCTCAGATGGAATTCCTTGACTTAAAATTTCCCCTTGTTTATTATCTAAATCATAATTTTGTGGTTGTATACACATTCCAGAATCTGAGGGTAATGATTTACAGTTCAGTTCAATTGGCCAAGGAAAGCTAAAACTTTTCATAATCGGTTCACATTTCGACTGGACATAACGACATAGATTTTGACATGGCTGTAAGGCAGCGGGTGGATTCAGAGCTGGAGTACACATTGGGAAATAAATTGTACACAGAAAAAATTTCAGATATTGTGAACATCCAACATTGATCAGGGAACGATAGTCGTTCATGCGTTTAGCAGCCTCTTCTTGTGTCGTTAAACCGACTGAATTAGGCAACCAAGTGTGTGTGTATTGAAGACCATGACAAATAGGTTCATGAATTGGAACACAGTGATTTAAATCATCTACACCTTCTTCAGCTTCGCCTTGTTGTTCACCTACCCTCTCGTTTGAATAAACCTCACTTGGTATATTTCCATTTTGATTAGATTCAATAAGACTTTTAAAATGATCGGACACTTCACTTTCTTTTGAATTAATCGGAAACATGATCGGTACAGCATCTCTTGATCTTCTTTTGAAAACTTGTCGAGATAAGTGTTTTTCATTGAAATTAATATCTTCATCTATTCGGTTATAATAATGTAAGTTTGAGCTTTTAATAAAATGGTTTTTGATTTCATGCTTCGCATAAGCAATATCAACACAGCATTGAGATAAAATAATTGTTATAGTTCTAATAATATTGAATAGATTAATATTTCTATATAAGTGCATTCCCGAAATTTGTATCCATTAAAGATGAACTATGCAAATCATCCGATTGAAGGAATTAAACAGTATAGTTCTGTACAATTAAATCATTTCAACAAGAAAAAATAATAATAATTTCATGAATGAACACATTTTTATTTGCTTTAAAATTATATTTTTCGTCATATTGTTAAAATGTCAGTTGAGATTTAATAAATTAATGTTCATTAAAAGTAGTGCAAAAAATATAAGAAGAATTTTTGTGCGTAAAAGCACAGACAAAAAACAACATGCGAAATTGTTTTGTGGTATACAAATTTATCGTATTATCTCTTGATTCTGATTGGTTACAAACAATCAGCCTATCCTGTTATTAAGATTATTGACCTCGCGAATAAAGAGATAAATTAGAGGAAAATGTATGGTTAACTCAATCTTATTGAGTGCAGTCGACTGAAATACTGTACTAATACAACTGATTAATGTTGCAGCTAACTCAACAAGCTTTTTATACACAACGAAGTAACTTTAACTTCAATCTAAGGTGTACAGTGACTTGTAATTTTCAGAAATTTTGAGTTTTACGGCTGGTTATTTTCCCTCATCGATCCATATGTTTGCAGTTGGTTCTTAACTGTAATCGAGTTACTAACAATGGGTTTAACTTTTGCATGAAAACGTATTACTACTGCTAAGTATCCTTCAAATTATAAAATTTATAGGTATGTCAAAAACACTTGGTCTGTTGAATAATTTGACTGACAGGTTGAAATCAGTTACACAACTTCATTGTGGATCAGTCATTTTGGAAGAAACCAAAGGTTACATAAAATTGTGCAGTGGATAACACTGTACAGACTTCACAGCAGGTTCCGTTAGAAGTTAATCAGACTATTGTGAGAGATTTGTTGAGAGAACGTACTTCATAGCAATTAACAGTTCTCATTACCATCTCCAAACAAGCAGCAGTTATACTCTTATAGTGATAAGTATTGGTTTCTTGAATCTGCCCATGATGTTTAGGATTGCAATTGCTTAGTCTCTTTAGCACATGTTCATCTTCTGTAGATTGCCTCAGAATTGTCTTTAAGTCAATCGAATCCAGTACTGTTCGTTCAAAATGCCATATGGTTATCCACTTAGCTGCTGAGTCCACATAGCCACTCTGAGATGCAGGTGTACCCACTTGACAAATCCCGAGTGGGACGAATCAAGCCTCCTGGATTCCACTGCCAGCAACTATTCACCTCTGTTAATAATCCTAAGTCCTTAGTTAGAAATAATAAAATGGCATTGTTCTGACATTTCGAAGTACGTCAAATAAATTATTTGAAGAAATCCATTGGTTTTTTTCCCTAATTTCTATATACTACATATTCATATAGACACTATCGTAAAACGTCAAATCTAGGGAAAGGAAAGCTGGTATTTAAATGTATTTCACTTTTGCATACAAGTAGTGTAGCCAAAAATGTACAGCTAATAACGAACAAAAAAATATTTCACATACAATAGATTTCACAAATTTACTTAATAGAGTACGGATTAATGTCATTTGTTTACAATACTTAACAATTATGCATAATTGTATAAAGTTTCAGTGGAATAACCTCAGTGCTGAATAAATTAGGTCTGTATAGAATTATGTTTCAAAGATCACAATGTAATTTATAGGTTGCTAGGAACCGATAAATATTTCGGATCAAATATTAGTAAAATAAAGTTCTGAAGTTTTGAACTTCCTGCTATCAGTTATCAGAACATAATTGGTTATCGTGTTAACACATGAGTTTCCTGTTCAAATGTTCTGATGTTACTTCTATTTGTGTTAGACATAATCTGTAATCTGATCCAGCGAGTAACGCATATTCTTGACATTTGATCAATTCAGCCATCTAAAATACTGAGACAGGTTGGAGGGAATTTAAATTTACCAGATAAAAGCAGGTTTATAAGAAATGATCGTAGTTAGTTAGTAATGCAAACTCAAACTTGCATCTGACTCACAATGCAGCCTTAACACAGGCACTGATTTGACAGGTCTTAATAAATCTGTATGGTTTATCATAGTCCGTCGTAAATTAGAAAAATACATATGCTTGTATTTGTCCGACTAATGTTGAGTGTTAAGAATTGATACTGAATACATACCTTATAAATCTTAAGTTGTGGAATATCTGGTTCACTTTACGAGTTAATAAACTACTTTTGATTAGTTGTGGTGTTGCAATGAAAATTGATCTAACACAAAATATTTCCATGAACTAAAACGTTTCATCAACTATATTATTTTGATTTTTTTTTTTCCAAGATGATTTTATTCTGAATAGGTTCTTACTCTGTCAAATTTTCAGGAAACGACTTTGGACGATTTACACAGAGTAATTGGAGTTAAACAAAAGAGTATTACACGTATATGATGCAGTTTATCGTATATTTAAAAGCCTTCATTGAATCAGTTCAAAAGTGAATATTGTGGAGTTGGTATGACAAACTTAAATTTGTAAAATAGTTCTTGATGCTATTTGTATTTATTCTGTTAATTTTTACAGCCGGTACATTCACTATGAAATGGTTGTACATTTTGTTTAAGTGTATGTCTTGGGATACCAGGCGCTTTGACCAATTGTACGTTTCCGTTCTGTTGTACACATAGAATGACACTCACTGCCCTCTCCTAACAAATACACTTTATACACCTGTCTCATTTTATCCATTGTTCATGAATGCGTTAACTGGATTCTACATTTATAGACTGTAGTCATATGTATATGCTATTCTACGGATAGTTATACCGCTGGGATTATTAACATTTTTATAATTGTGGGTTTTTTTGGTACCAAACCCAACCGAACACGTACAAGCAGCCGTATTAAGTAACGTTTTTACATTTTTATTGTGTTTATTATATTTAACTGATATTGTTTGGTCCACCACTATATATAAATAATATATATAAATAATATATATAAATAATGTCCATATAATGGTAGTGGCTACATTATAGAATATAAATTATTTTCTAACTATTTCCATCACAGTTTTGTTGATAATTCTAATGAGTATAAGAAATAATGTCTCGCAACGCTTTTGAATGACCGAAATTACGAAAGTTGATTTCTAATCTAATCTTTTTTTGGAAGTTATCGCATTAACATATCTCAGGTTGTACTACAATCATAACAACCTATTCGATTCCATATGTTCTTCTAAAAGTCATGTACTTATGTCTTTTGTTATCACTAAATATAGAAAACCTAATTCAAACAACATTCCAACATAGCTTGTGTATTATTTACATGATAAATTTACTGAATATACAAATAATACTACAAGTCGAAAATGGACTGACAAGTCATTTATACGAATATGTTCATAGCAAACATATTGTACCGAAATTAGGTCAAACATTTGCTGATGCTACTGATATACATGTGTGTGCTTATCTCTGTGTGTACTGCATTAGACTTCAAAATATATCATCATTAATCAAAAGAAAAATGACTGCGAACGCTTAAATATACATACATTGCAAAGATAATTGGCGCCTTATGACAGATTGATATCTATGTTATACGTCTAGGTAAACAATATCTACACCTGTGATCTTATTTTCTACTAATTTTATCTGCGGTCTTTTGAAATAAAAGTCAAATCAACTCAAAAAATTGAATAAGAAGTCAGAAATTTTATGGGCTATAATAAATTCAGTTTGGTTTAGAATCTGTAAACAAGTCTACAAACAACCATTAAAAAAATAACCGGATATATTAAAATTTAAAAATCCTTGATGTTAAACATTTGCTTGAGTGAATACTTTGCTTCAATGTATCTTTAGTAGCAGCTGTTACTCAGAAAAATAATTTAACTAACTTCATCATAACAAATTCTGGTTCGAATTTATGATATACTTGGTCATTATCTTTCTGAGTACTCTTGTACAAAATTTAAAAAGTCAAGGTCACTATAAATCATGTTCGGTGTTCGCCAATTGTATATGACAGAACGGATTAGCACGATAATTGGGACTGATGTAATATCATGAAACTACATCGCAAAACAAGCTTTAACTTGAAATACTAAAGGCAAAAGGATAAGAACCAGATTGAATAACATATTACTCCGGGAATTGGAAGCAGATATCGAAAGAATGAATAGCACTTGGCATCAACTGGAAAAGAAAACCTAAGAAGTTTATGCTCTACAAAGAGTTGCACTCTTAAGTAAATAAGGAACGAAGGAAGAGATGTGTACTGATAACATACTAATCAACAATAAATATGATGGTTATCATAAGAAAGTTATACTTCATTGAGCTACCAGTTAAAAAAGAGGTAACACTTCACTAGTCAATATAAACAATATTTAAGAAAAGTATCACCTTTTTTGTACCTTTTTAAACAATCTTAATTAATAACGAAACGGTGATTTATGGTGTCCCATTGTAGGGATAACCTTACTGGGTAGTCAAAGATTTATCTCACTGACCAGTGACCATGAATCCTGAATTCTAATTCGAACATGTAAACGAAGATACCAGATACTTTGAGTTTACTTTTGTTAACCTATACTAGGAAGACTTTTTTTTGAACTTTAGGTAATAGAATCATTCAGTTAGTTGTCATAAACTTCACTTTGTTGTGTAAAACCAAATGCAGTTAAAGAGCATCCTCTATAAGTCATCAACACGATGTCCTCTAAACTTTTGACACAGTTCAAAACTAATCGGATGAAAGGAGAAAGATAACCCTAGTCTGCGGCTTCTAAAAATATATATTTTATTGGAAAAAGTAATTCTTTAAAGACAAGTTTCCATACCAGTGAATAATATGGAGAATTATATGGCTAATAAATGTCAAACTGAAGTGATCGATTATCTCACTAAAGTCAAGTAACGTACTAAAATAATTAATAAATGAATTCATCTGAACATAATCGAATGTAGAACAGTATGATTCTAATATTCAGCTAACTGATAATTTTATTTGTGGTCGCTTCTTGCTATTAATGAAGGGGATTCCTCTGGGAATG